TTTGTGTTTTCTGGTGCCAAAACACACCAAAGGATTAGGTGCTAGAATGGAAAAATGAGTTTTCTCCATTTCCCAATTACTTTCACAGGCCTTCTTATTATCTTTAACTTTCCTCTTATAAAACACACACACACACACACACACACACACACACACACACACACTAAAAGAAATTACTGGGTTCTTTATTTATACCTTATAATAACCTTTATTTCTTGGTTTTCACAGGAAGTGATGACTGCATTAAGTGCTTGGAACTCACTGCTACGGGATTCGGGGGAGAACTGGAAATTGTGGGTAGGCTAAGCATGGCGAGGATAAAATTAGCTTTCAAGCATATGACTACCAGGAAAGTTACATGCTACCAGAATCAAGATATCATGCGCTGTCATCAGGGTTGTAAATCGGGCATAACGTTTTTTTTAAAGGATGCAAGATAGAAAATGTGTCCTGTGCTCACAAATGCGAGATGGCAACCCAACAAGTTTTTATGTTCCTGTAATCACTAAACCCCATTTGCCAATACTAACATTGGAGTAATTACAAGGAAAGCCTGGGGTAAATTCTACCCTCTTGATAGCCTTGGAAAGCACAAATGCCAGGATTTGCAAAGGTTTGTGAGAACAGGACATCATTATAATTAATCACAGGCAAACCCCTGTCTTCAGTTAGTAACCCTGGTAATCCATGGGCGACAGGCCTGCTTGACTTCTGGCCTTCTCTTTTCCCTATTTCTATGCAAAGGTAAACAGCCTATGGAGGTGGCAGAATTTTCAAAGTTAACGTCAGTAAACCTGAGATAAAATAAAAATGATAAAGCTAACACTCGTCTTCTGCTTATCGGCTTTCAAACATTTAGCTTCGAAGCTTATGGATTTCTATATTTTATTACAAAAAACAAAAACAAAACAGTGTTTCCTGTGAACAATAAGATGGGGAAAAGCAACATAGAGATCAGGGTGACGCAGGATAATCAGAGAGGAAATGTTGTCAAGGAGGTTGCCAGCCTGCGAGGCAACAACATAAACAATGCTCTCAGTCATCACGCAAAAGCCACCTTCCAGATGTATAACATTTCCAATGGGCTCCTGGTCACAATTGTTTTTACTGTTATGTGTATATCAATGTCATCAAAAGCAGTTATCCTCTAAGACCAAGAGGGTACAAGAGGATACTGAAATTTCATAATATTTAGGTGCATGTTAATAATTAGAAAAGTGTAAAAAATTTTACATTTAGATCATATTTTAGTTTTTATATTTTATACTATTTATATAATATACATTCATTTATATAATTTTCTAAGCATTAACATGTATCTAAGTATTAAATGTATTCGAATCTTGAGGATTTAATTTCGTAGTGGGTTTAGTTATGGGGGAAAAGATCCTTTGCTTATCCGCATTTGGAATTTAAAAGTCACATAACAGTTTTGTAGAGTATAAGCAGAAGTGTAAGCATAAACCAAATGCATTTAGTAATTTAAAAAACTCCTTCCAAAACATATAGATATTAATTTCTGCAAATTCTGCAAGGGATTAAGCCAGAAATTGATGCGTAGTAATAAATAAGAGGTGAGTGAGTTTGATGACAAGAACACCTGAAATGACCATCAGAAGATGTGGGTTCTCCTGACTGCCGTAAACCATCCGAGTGACCTTGACCATCGCAATTAACCAGCATTCAATGGGACTCATGGATGACTCTGTATATTGGAGGTAACAAAAAGATGAACAAGATCTAGCTTCTGCCCACAAGAACTTGATGAGCTTATAAGGAAGGTAACACATACAATTATAACTGACATACGGCAGAATGAGATGAGGAGAAGTACAAACCAAACACAATGAGAACTCAGACAAAAGAAAGGCTACTTTCTTCCTGAAGAGGAGAGAGTTTGAAGGAAAGTTTTATGGAAGAATGACATCTGAAATGAGCTTTAAAAGAATGGATAAGGTTCCAATAGGAAATCTTAAAGGTAGAGGGCTTTTCAGAAGCAGTGGAAGAAAAACTTGCGGTTAAAGTTACATTCATGGTTCTCAGGCTGATTTTAATGCACGGTTATTTTTAGCTTGGGCGGCAAGAGCTCACCAGGCTCACCAAAGCCCCAGGACTCCCTTTTTGGACCCATTGGCCTTCCTCATTTACATCATTTGACCAGCTCTGCCGATGTTTGTGTTTGTGACACTTGCAAAAGGGATTCATAATTATCAAGATAAGAAATCTAGATGAGACCTTCTACAGAATGAAGAGAGCCAATGAAAGCTGAGTGAGGAAGCATCGGGACCCCAGCTGAGCCTTAGAACAAAATCTCTAGCAGCACTGTGGGGAATTGACTACAGGAAAGAGGAGCGATGGCCGGGCAAGAGAGGCAATCATCTGGGGAAGGACAAGAAGAATGTGTCCTCGGGCAAAGGAATGGAGACAAGAGGGAGGTATAGATTTCGGAAACAGTTCAGAAGTGACTTGACAGTCAACTAGATAATCTGGTGAAGGGAGGAGTGTAATCCATGGTTAAATTTAAACTTCATAGCATCTATGTCTAGGTGAATGCCGATGTCACTAATATAGAGAAAAAAGAAAAGGAACAAACTTGATAAGGAAGATAATGTTTCTTGGGGAGGAGGGGTGCTATGAGCATCTAGTAGGGTCCAGGGATGCTGCTAAACATCCTAAAATGTACAGGATAGTCCCCCACAAGAAGAATGGTCTAACCAACAATGTCAGTAGTGCAGAAACTGAGAAATCCTGATCTAGAAAAAGTAGGGACTTTAAATCTGGAGTTTTAGAAAGGAGGAATGAATGGAGATGAGAACTTTTATTCACTCATACTGCAGTGAGAGACATGGGAGAAAATTAACCACAGTGGAGAGTTTGTGGGAAAGAAAGAGAAGCAGGTGGCTGATGAAATCCTAGGCAATATCACCTCATTGGCAAAATGAGTTCACTGGAGTGAGGTAATGTCACAACCCTGTTCATATTTAAAATGCAATGACTCGATGACTGTTCTCAGGAAGTGTGAACCTAGGAAGATAGATATGAAGGAGGTGGTATGAATGGGGTGGTAAATCATGAAGCAGACCAGTTCAGTTAGGAATGTCCAAAACATCTGAACATTGAAGACACATTCCGATCCGCAGCAGGAAAACATGCATGAGGTCTGAGATTTTCATCTGCAAATTGGCTATAACTTGGTCACAGAGCCACACTACTGCAAATAGGAAAGTGTTTTTAAAAGAAGAAGAAAAAGTGGGAGGAGGAGTTAGAGGAGATGCGTGAAGAAAGAAGGGAAGAGAAAAGCGAAGGAAAACAGAGGAGAAAAGATATGGGAAGGAAATGAATAACAAGACAAGGGAAAAAAAGGAAGGGAAGGGAACGAAAAAAGGGTCAGAGCACTGTGCAGACATCTTCGAGAAGGCTGAAGGAATATGATGTGAGGGCAGTCCTAAGAAGTAAGACTAGTGGCCGTCCTCCATGATTTTGTGAAACTGATATGGGAGAATATTTCACGGACGGCAAAATCTGCTTTTTGGACAGTATCGTCACGATTTTTCAAAAGCTGTAGTAACACACAATGACCAAACAGGAACCAACACCTGTATACTTCTCCAGGGCTTAAATCAATGTTGCTGTAACTGCTCCAGGGAGTTTGGCCGGAGCAGGACAGGAGATGGGGAGATGATGTGGCACTCTCGTGCAAAGGAACATGCAATGATGCATCGTGGGCAACGTGGCAGCCTTAGACTGCTGAGCAGAGGCAAAACAGGTTAGCAAGAAACAATTAGAAGATGGTCCTTTTCCATTCCAATTGTGATGTGGCCCACAATGACAAGGGATATCTGAGACTAAAGGCAGCAGCAGCAAATCGAAGGAGACATCGCTGAATGGGAAAAAGGTGAAGAACATGAACACAGGAAAGGAGGCCCAAATGAATGGGCCACAGCTGGATAGGTCTCGAATTCCAGTCCTGGCTCCCACCTTAGCTAGCTTGGTGCTTGATGCAGAGTGTCTCTGAAGCTGGTAAAATGTGAATGACAAGTTTCCTAGGAGTGCTGTGATAATTAAATGAGGTCATATATGTAAAGCATTTGCCCGATGCCAGGTAGGGACTCCCTCAGTGGTAGCTGCTGTCAAGTAATGTCTAATTCTATTACTCTAAGTAATGCCTGAAAACAAAAACAACAATGGGACTCACATTCTCAGTCAACCCAAATCGAATATGTTAAATAAGGTAGAAAGCTTGAAAAGTAAAATCTTCATTTTCTTTTTTGTTGTTGTTGGTATTTTTTCTTTTTCTTTTTCTTTTTTTTCATGAATTTATTGGGGTGACATTGGTTAACAAAATTATATGGGTTTCAAGCGTACAATTCAACAATACATCACATGTATACTACAGTGTGAGTTCCCCACCCAGAGTTAAATTTCTTTCTTCATTTTCTAAAATGAGCAACTTTTATGAAATGGCCTTCAGAACTCTGGTCAGATTTCCTCATTGACTGATGGGAAAATTGGAAAAGGAAATGAAAAAGCTATTGTGGTTTGTATGTACATGGTCCCTCCCCCCGCCAAAAAAAAAAAAACTTTTTAATTAAAGGAAAGTTATCTATCATTTCTTTTATATAACACAAGATGAAAGCAGAATTAGAAAATTACAGTTCCTAGTTTTATAAATACCCACGCATACACATATCCATAGATACACATACATATATACATATATTTTCACCGTGAAAATACCGGACACGGTATAGATATACACATTCATATACATATATATTTTTTAAATAATAGAGCTAATTGAGGGAGATGCCTAGCAGAAAGGTATTCATAGATTTCTGTGAACTCGACTGGCGTTCATCACCCAGATTCACCCATTTATAGAGCAAACATAGCTGATAAAGTTCTTGGAAGTTTTGTGGTGCACTCAAGAAGAGAGTTTGGGGAATCGACCGGGGATTATGAAGGATATTCATCCTCCAAGCCACAGCCAGTTCACTCACCTGTCCAGGAGCAAGTTGGGAGCAAACAGGAGCTTCCCTGGGTGCTCCATGGAGCGCCAGACGAGACCGATCATCAGGATCTCCAGCCAGGCACATTCCAAAAGGTGAACCTGGTCGTGGAGGGTCAAATCCACAAAGCCTGAAACAAGACAAGAAGAACCCTGCTGACTGAACATAAAAGGCAGCCATGACTGTGAAGGGAATGCAGCCAGATATTTGAACTGGTAGGGTCTATTTTTCTATTGGATGAAATAACATGTATTAGAAGCACTTGATAGTAACTATTTGTAAACCTAGCTATGTCAATGAACTTCGGTGTGGCATGGAGTTCTTTGTGCCTTAGTGTCGATTCTACAGAACTAAGCTAACTTATGCACCCCACTTAGCTCTCTAGAAAGTTCTGTATTTAAATAGTATTAAAATGGGTATGTACTCTACTTAGACATTTCTAATAGCCCTATGTGACTATTAATCTTAATATTCATTTCTATTTCAGTTGAGGATATTAAGGGGCAAGAAATTTAAATTACTTGCTTAAACCAAACAGAAATTAGAGAGTAAGCAGGACCACAGTCGCTGAATTCCTATTTATTTGCTTCATCACTAAGCCATGCTCTTTTTTTCACACTGTATAAAAAATACTAATGAAATAGCATATGTAAATAAATCACTTGGAGGAGAATGAATGATATGATCACTTCTGATAATAAACACTAAAATATGCCCTTCTTTTCTAATGACTTCTTGGGAGATTAAAGCTTTTTCCAATCATCACTGGCAACATAGCGGTGCTAACAATAACAATAATAATAATAATAATAATGACAAAGAGGAGAAGGAGAAAAAGAAGACCAATTTACTGTGCCCTTACTAAGGATTAAAAGCAATGCTAAGTGCTCACCGTACACAATTTCTTTTAATCTTTTGTTAATACGATATCTCTAAGAGGTAGGAGTGATACCATTTTACAGATAAGGAAACAGATGTTCAGAGGCTTAAATGGTTGTTAAGGTCAGAGATGGAAATACAGTCTCTGGAAGCCATGCCCTTGACCACAACTGACACTGCCTCTTATGAGCTGCAATTAATTATAGACCTTGGATCGACTGAGCCAGTAAATCCAACCACACAAAGTAATATATGCTAGAATGACAGAGGAATTAAATTAACAAAACGTCCATAAAGTTTGCTGCTTTCCACATCAGTTCCTTGTTCTTTTTCCCTGAGATTTCTGGTCAGAATCTATTTCCTTCCTCACTCTCTTTCTGCTCTCAACCCTTTGTTCTCTCTTATCCATGAGACTGACTCTAGGGATCCCATTTTTCTTTGTCTTCTTCTTCATTTTCTCTAACTAATATTATACTTTTACTAGTTATCTATACTCATTTTGATTAAAAAGCCAAAACATAAGTTTATTTTCCTTGAGCAGTCAAGATTTGATAGTTTGCTTACTGGATGTTTCTTTTAGGGGACTGTGGAATTATCATGGGATCAATATTAAAGAGTTAGCTTGTCATATCATCTAATATACTTAAGCACCGTCTTTCACATAATCCTTACCGCCAAATAGGTGATGATTCACGTAGTGAAACATATATAGCATAAGCTAGAGAAAGACCTCAGAGTCTATGCCCTGTCTAGCCATCATCTCATTATCAAGCCTTGTCAATTCTATTTTTGAAATAAAGCTAAAATACTTCCTCTCCTTCCTATAGTCCCACTGTTATCATATTAATTCAGTTCCCAAGAGTCTCTCGTCCTTTTGTCTGACTTCTTTAACTCAGCATAATTATTTTGAGACTTACCCATGTTGTGGCATGTATGAATAGTCGATTCTTTTAATGGCTAAGTGGTTTTCTATTGTATGGCTATATCCATACATAATTACATTTTGCTTTTCCTTTTATTGGACATTTGGGTTATTTCCAGTTTCAGGCTATCATAAATAAAGTTGTTTTGAGCAATATGCGTACAGCTCTTTGCACAGACATGCTTCCATGTCTTTTGGGTAAATATGGAGGAGCGTGATGACTGAGACATATGGTGGGTGTATGTTTAACTTTTTAAGAAACTGCCAAATTGTTTTCAAGAGTGATTGTTCCATTGACATTCCCAGAAGAAATAGATGAGAGCACCACAGTGGCTCCACATCCTCACCAATACTTGGTATGGTCTGTTTTTGCAATTTTAGACATTCTAGTACATGTATAGAAGTAACTCACTGACATCGTGGTTTTAATTTGCATTTCTGTAATGACTAATAATATTGAGCATCTTTTCATGTACTTCCAACAGATCATTATCTTACACTACAGTCACATTAATTATGCACATACCTGTATAGACTGTGTACTCATTATAGTGCAAGCATGATACTATCAAATTCTGCTCTTTTAAAGTCCAAATTTATTGCACTTTCTGCTCCCGCGCTCAGCATTCCAAGGCCCAAAACAGAGCATGCGCCTTCCCATTGGAGAGAGTGGTTTCACTCACATAAAAGAGGACTTACAACTAGGGAGAAAGTGGGCAGCTTTGTTCATAAGAAAAACTAAGGGATTATAATACAGTGATTGCCAGTTATAAAAACAGTCCTGAGAATGTGAACTACAACATAGGGAATGTAGTCGATAATATTGTAATAATTATGTTTGGTGTCGGTGGGTACTAGACTTATCGGAGTGATCGTTTTTTAAGTTATAAAAATGTCTAATCACTATGTTGTATGCCTGAAATTAATATAACATTTTATGTCAACTACAATTGAAAATGTTAAAAAAAAAAAGAAAAGATTAAAAAACAATGATTGGGTTTCAAGTCTCCTGGGGAGAAAAAGGAGCACAGTATCTCTGCAGCTTGCAGCTATTTGCCTCTCCAGTGCATTGGGTAGAAATGGGCAAGGCTTACTCTGGAGAAAACCCTGCCAGAGGCGGCAGGAAACCTCCTCTTTCCCAGTATCCAAAGTGTGATATGAGAAACCACTCCAGGATACGGTTCTTATAAGGGAAGCTCTCAGGGATGTCTGAATTCTCTATTTCACCCCAGTCTTTTGGGTGAAGTTCTCATAATGGCAATGTAAACTTACCCTATAAATTAAACTCACTTTCAGAAATGTTAACATTCAAAAGGGAGGTCTTTTCTTTCATGACATACACTTTTATGTGGGGAAAAATGTTAGCATGTGATAATGTCACCCATGATGAAACCTACACCATGCCGTTCAATAGCCTCCATAAACCTCGAATAATCACACAGGGTGAGATTAGGGGTTTCTCCCAAGAGAACGGCAGCTGGCCATATACCCAATCAATTTTGGAAAACCAAAGAAGCACTTTCTAGTGGCAACCTTAAACATTAAACTGAATCATACTTTTGAATTCTCACTTCAGAACCTGAGTGCTATTTAAGTCTGACAGTTTTAGTGGTCTTTCGCGAGCCTCAGAAGCTCACCATAACCATTGTACCTACCCTACAAGTCTGGTGATTATGAAATCTATCCGAAATACATCTGTTAGTAACAGCTTTCAGTCTAAGTCCAGTAGAATTGCTGAGTCCTTCTGTTGAAATGATGTAGATCTCTTAAAAAGAAATAGCCTAATTATCTTTCCCATCTGTTCATATTGCCTATAGACAAGGGTTATTATATTTCTTGCACAGTGCCCTCTGCAAATTCTTGGGGCAGAGGACAGGGGAAGGTGACAAAAGACTGTCACCTTCTCAGTGAAGGTGATGGTTACTGAAGTAAGTTATTAGTTGGAATGTCTCCAATATACTGGTCTCATAGGAGCTAAATGCCCTCTGGGTATGGAATACATGTCCATTACTAATTTCTGTTCATAATCAGTGGAGGAAAGCAATTCAATAAATACCAAACAACATTATACTGGGCCAACTATCTGTGGACATGAAGTTTCAATCCCTTGACTTATGTTCCGTATAAACAGGAAAAATGATCTAATATGCAATTTCAACTGGATCTGCTGTAATAACTTAGAGGCATTCAACAATGCCTTTCTTGAACATTTGAAAGTGTCGCCAATATGAAGATGGGACGTAGTTGCATCTATGGGCTAAAAGTAGAAGCATCAGTGACAGGCTACACAGTGAGAGTTGACTTACTCTCCATCACTTGGAGACTCTTATCTTAATGACAGTGACAAGGGAGCTGTGGGCCTGTGAAATCCACATCAATGGGACAAAACATACACCTAAAAAGTAGTAACAGGAGTTGATTGAAATCAAATGAAATAAGATGCAAGGAAATCTCATTCTACAAAATAAAATTTTGAAAGAACATGAACATGAATCTTTTTCTCGTCGACATTCACAAGTCTAATATTAGAGTGTCCAGAGATAGAATATACTAGAAACAGACAGAAACGCCTCAGATCCTACTCCCTACCCACTGTGTGAGCAAGGGTCTAATGAAGTTGAGGGAGTCCTCTTTCATAGAAAAAGACCCTCCCTGGACACACAAGCACTCATTATTTCCAGCCTTGTCGCCAAAGACAGGCATTCTGCTTCTGTCTTTCACAGTAAAGTAACTACTTTTCCTCCAAGATTTTTAAGCAAGTTTTGACTGTGGAAGGAGCTCATGGTATGTCTTTCCCCTCTTCCCTTGGGCCCCATAAGACTCTAAGCCCGCTTTCCCACTTTGCTAAGGACTGCCATACAATTTGCCCAATCTGCCTTGGTGCAGAGGAAATCTTTTAAGCTCCCTCGCTTATACTGAATGTGGCAAGGCTCTTAGAAATAATGTTGAAAAGTGTGCAGAGATCCTTAGGTAAAGTGACCGATATCATATAAATGCATGTAAAGTTCTGTACTGCTTTGGAATAAAACATAAATCAGAGTGGTTCTTCAGTAGAGACGTGAGAAAAAAATAAATATTATAGTAATGATATTTATTTGTGTGGCATACAATCTATAGAGATGCAAAGCAAGGTAGAAACCGTGTAGAAGAAAAAAGGAACTTTTTCTGGGGAGCACTATCTACAAAACTAGAAGCCAGGTGTTTGGTTCCCTTAGTAAATCCACTGGAAAAAAAATATATTAGTTTCCTGACCTTCAAAATCATGAATCATGTTTGGTCATCAGATGACCCTGGTGTTCTCCAAAATGTCAGTTATGAGATTGTCCGTT